CTAAAACCTTACTAAACAGGGCTATATTAGGTAGCTTATATTAATTAAAATAAAAAAGTATAATATTAAATAAACTTATTTTTAAGCTAAACATGGGGAAATTTTATATTAACTATATTAAGTTATTTATTATAAAAACTTAGTAAAAAAGGAAAAGGCTTAAAAATTAAAAAAAAAAATAATTTTATGCTAAAAAGTACTTATAATAAATTATTAAAAAAAAGTAATAATATTAAATTTTATTATTAATTAAAAAACCTAATATAAATAAAAAAAATAATATAAAAAATAAAAAAGTTAACTTACAAGGCCTTTTTAATAAACATGGGGAATTTAAGTAAAAAAAAAGTAATAAAAAAAGTTTTAAAGTTATTTCTTTTTTTAAATATCTAAAGCAAGGTATTACTTACTTTACTTTTTTACTTTACTTAATATCTTGGCGGCTACCTTTCCCTTTACCTTACTTTTACTTTTACTTTCTCTCTCTACCTTAACTCCTTAACTCTTAACCTTTTATCTTATAACTTTTTCTCCCTTTTTATAATATTAAAAAAGTTATTATTTTTTTTAACACCTGGGCCTAATCCGGGAATCTTACTAAAAAAGCTATTAATAAAAAAAAAGTATTACTTGGTTTTTTTTTTAATTTTCCTAACTTTATATACCTATTTTCTTTACCTTTTATTTTTTTTTATAAATATTTATTTCCCTTACTTTTTTAAAGCTTTTATCCCGTGTATTCCTCTTAGATATTATAAAGACTAGCTTTTTTTTAGCTACCTAAAAAGTAAAATAACATGCTAGTGGGGGATAAAAAAGTTAAACCTATTAATAAGTAAAATAAAAATTAAACTTTAATTATTACTAATAAGCAACTTATAAATATAGTATTTTTTTAATTACTTAAAAAAAATAAACTAGATTTTGTGCCCTAAGTGGTTAATTAAATAATATTTTTAAAAATAATATTAAATAAAAATAGATACCTAAAGCTAGAATAAATAATTAATAATAATAATATATTATATAATATAAGGTATTAAATTTCCTATTTTTTTTAATACTAGTACTAGCTAAAGCTAAAATTATAAAGTTAAGTAGTTATATTATTTAAGACCTTATTAAACTACTGTTAAATATTTAAAAGTGGTTTAAAAGGTATTTTTAATAAAGTAAAAGTACCTGTAAATAAATTTATTAAATAATATTTATTTTAAAATATTAATTATAAATATATTTTTAGCTTTAAAACCCTGTAAAGTGTTATTAGGAAATACTAGCTAGTAATTAAAAATTATTATTAATACCTTATTATTTTTATTATTAATAAATATACTTAAGAGCAGCTTATTAAGCTATTAAAAAAATAATTAAACTTTAAATAAAAAGTATATTATAAAGGTAATAAAAAACTTATAAAATTTAAATTAATTAACTAGGATTATTATGGTATTTATTACTTAAGGCCTTAATTTAATTTAAAATTTTAAAAAAAATAGTTACCTAAATTAAAATATTATTTAAATACCTTAAAAAAAGTATAAGTTATACGCGCAGGTAATTAACTATTAAGCAGCCTTTTTTATTATTTTTTAATATATAATTATTAAAAAAACACGGTAATATAAGTTTTAGTTAAATAATAATTAAAAATTAAAAATACTAAATTATAAAAGGTAATTATAAGGGTTAAAGCTATATAAAAATTAGGTATTTAAAAAAATAAAATATAATTATAATATATTATAATTATAAGCATAATATTTAATCTAGAATATTAAACACCTTACTTTTAAAAAAATAATTATTACTAGTAATAAAGCTAGTAAAAAAAAGCCGCAAAAATAGTAAACATTAAAAAACAAAATTAAGAATTAATTTATAAAAGTAAATAACCATAGCTATTTAAACTTAAAAGTAGCTTATAATAATATAGTAATAGCTTATAAAAAAAAGTAATTATTTTTAATAATAACCTTTAGTTACCGCTATTATAAATATATAAGTTTTAATTAAGTTTTATACTAGTTTATAAAAAATATATAATAATTAAAATAATATTTAAATATAACTTTATAATACTTATTAGCTACTTGCGGTTTATACCATAATAATAATAAATATTATAATAATTACCTTTTTTTTAATTAAAAATAAAGTAAATATAATTAAATAGGGTATAATTACTTTTCCTTTCCTGCCTTTATAAATTTAAAAAGTATATTATAATATTTATAGTAGTGTTTTAGGAAGTTTTAAAAATAAATTTTACTTTTTAATTATATATTTATTTTATTTTACTTATGGCTATATATTTTTATTAAAAATTTTTAGTATTATACCAAAAATTTAGGCCCTTTAAAATTATAAAAAAAGATTAATATTATATTAATATCACGTGGCTTACCGCCACTAATTAATAGTTAGTTATTTTCTTATTTTTAGTTCTTAAAATATCCATCTCTTTTTATTAAACTGTTCCTACCATTTGTTTTGGCCATAGGTTTACGAGTATTCTTGCGGAGTTTCGAGAAGTATTAGCAGTCAGTATACTGTGCATGCGTGGTGGCTTCATGTAGACTCAAGAATTCAGATAAAGCGAAAACGCACCAGTACCATAGTACTCGAAGTGCCGTGGAACAATGATTAAAGGAGGGACTTACCCTTGTTCCGCCTTTCCTGGCAGTCACAAACATCCTAATTCAGGTATACAGCTTCGGCAGGGGCCGAGGGGGGTTGGTTGACGAGCGATGAGGAGCCTCGTGCTATCGCGATCCCGACTCCCGAGTTGCTTGACGGCACGGTTCTCAATTGGCCTATCCCTCGTCAGGTTTGGAAAGACACAGACTGTCTGGAGATCGCTTACCGCGATCTTGAAAGATTTCGCATAGCCCAGCTCGCGGCCAGGAAAAGATGGATGCAGGCTCGCGGTTTCCTGGCCAAAGGAGATTCGGTCTTTATAAGCCCTTGGGGCGGTAGCCAACAAGCCGACATGATACCGTCAGAATGCCGTCCTCAAAGAGATGTTTTCGCACGGCCTGGCCGAGCATAAAGCTACTTTAGGTGAAAGAGATAGATTTAGGCTCCGTGCAGTCGTTTAGATGCTAGATTAACGCCGGGGGGTAGAATGAATATATTCGGAAGAACACCAGGTTGCCGGTTGCCTCCGCGTCGGCAATCCGAGACTGAAATGGATCCGAATCAGTTCGGTGGCTTAGCTTCACTGGAGCAATGTGGAAACCCGGTCTTCCTCGTCCATAGATATCTTTTGTGGCCTCAGCGTAATCTGGCATTCCCATACCGATCGCCAACTCAGCTGGGGCAAGCTTAGCATGGATAGCTAGAGTAAAACGACCTTGTGACCGGCTCCTGTGTTGGTAAATTCCACGTGGATCATGCACCCCTTAAAGGGAGGAGGTACAGGGACTCCGTCGGGTCATACAGAGCTAAGGAGAGGTTATGGTAAACTACGGAGTATAGGAAAAAATGACAGATGCGCCAAACCTCACTAGACGTGAAGACGACACCGCCGACAAAAGTCTGTCTCCCTGACCACTTGACACCACTGAAACCAAGGAGATGCACGAGGCCAAGTCCTCTTCTAATGGAAGCTATTGGGAGAAATGTCAAAGGCCGTTTGCTAACGCGATGGCGCTGCGAATGCACTGAGAACGCAGCTTATTCGGTGGGCTCTTCCAATTGTTGATCACCCCAGCTGGAAAGTCTCCGTTTGACATGTTGGGCGCATAGCGTAGCTTGCGGGCAAGATGCAGTTTATCTATAACCCGGTCGTGTGCATTGAAATGCGAACAAAGAAGTGTCCAGAGCGTAATACGACTACCGTGATCGCTTTCCAACATACTGGACGCATCAACACGCAGAAGAAGACGGCGACGACCGCCCATGGACGCGGGCCGTCAACGGCAAAACCAACCTAAACGATCCAAAGGTCGGCAGAAAGCTGGCAATTGCGCTTGACAGATTGATTAAGGATCCCGAGATTTATGGCTTTCCCCTAGAAGGCACACGAGTGTCAGACATTGGGGCATTCTGTATCATACACGCTATGGATGGCTCGTCTAGACATAGACGATATCCACACGATTTCGATTCGAACGGAGATCTGAAAGCGAAAAGAGTGCCCGTAGGGCCAACAGATACATTAATTGTAATATAGCTAAGTCTCTTGCAAGAGAGGAAACCCTAAATAAGCCGTATCAGAGTGCCCGTATGTTCCCAACGGGTCAAACTCGAACTAGAGCTTCGGAGAAGGACAAGGTCGTCCGGGAGAGAAGACAGGGCGAGCGTTTACAGGAGTTTGTTCAGCAAAATAAACCACTACTGACTCGCTGTTAGGGTGGCGTGCTTGCCTTCTTGCCCGTCATGAGGCTTTCTGGACTCCTAGGTCCTTGACACCTAAGTATACCTCTCAATTGTCCTATCCCAGGATCATATGGTGCATACAGTCGGCTTTAAGCAAGCGGTAATTGTAAACCACCGATGCATGCTATACGTCTCTGCGCAACTCTTTACCCTCGCCAACATCCACCTTTCTCATTTACATCTCTTAGCCCGATCACTGTTACTGGTGCCTAGCACAGAAGAGTAGGCTCGCTTACAATACTTCACCCCGGATGTGGTGTTTTCTGTTAAAACCAGCATAAGTTAGTCCCATACACGTTGTGTTGAACACATTGACCGTTGCCCGGAGAAAAATCGCAAGCTGGTTAGGCACTTCAGGAACGTTCAACCTTAGAAAGAGTGTCCTACTCAACAAAACAGGCAACGGTGCTATATAGCCCCTACACTGGATGACGTACAGTTCCAGGGCAGTATCGCCGCTGTTCCAGATAATACCCATACTTATGGAATGATAGACGGCGCCCTGGGTGTTCCTGCGATGCAGATATGTGACAGCAAAAGGGCTCCTGGGGGAATTGATATTACCCATGAAAACCCATACATTCTCAATGGCGTGAACTAAGGCGCAATCGCCTCGGATGCGAGCATTGGACTTCCCGAAGGTATATGGGTCCTTAAACCTTGGATCTTCCCTGTCTTGTTATCTCCCTAGCATGTTTACAGTACTGACAAAAGTCCATCAGGTGCCATGGCAGAGGACGTTAGAGAATACAGGTGTTTCTTACCTGCTGGAAGAAGACGAAGAAGCTGGAGGCGAGGACAAGGAACGCGACACAGATGACGAAATTGTTGACGAGGCCGAGGCCCGGTAAATGAGCCTGATCTCGCACCACGTCAAACAATATCCGTCTATTGTTTGAAATCGCCCGGCCGGTGGGATTTTCGTTCCTGCCCTGGCTGTCATCCCACCCAGGCAGCGGCTGAATGATACATGTACTCTCACAGGCCCGATGTCTATGAACAGTTGCCGCCCGGCGTGGCGTGACGCGGGTTTCTGGGAGATAGCTGAAAGGAGTCTCGGAAATCTGATTACTCTATCCCCCAATTGTGGTAACAACGTCGACATTAAACACGGAGGTGTCAGAGTACCGCGCCGCAATGATTGGAATGCAGAACGTTGGGCAGACGCGCTATTGGAACGGCTACGACTGAGTGACCGGGACGTGCCGGTTAATACTATCTTAGACAGCGACTCAAAGCTATATAGGCAAGGATCTTCGCACATCTGAAGATCAAGGATCTCTACACAACGGCATGGCACTCGCAGGCGAACGGAGCAGCTGAAAGCACTAATCAACCAATCATGACCTACTCGCGGTAACTGATAGTCAGCCTTATTCTATACAAGCTCAGCAATCTTTATTTTCACCACGAGTTCGAGAGTTTGAGCATTGCTCTCACTTTTACCAAGGACAGCACCAGCAGCTGGATGGATGTGGTCCGGATGGACGTTATTCGTCCGCTCCGACTATATTCAACATTCGCTCACCGAAATATTCGCGATTAGCCGTCATTTTACCAGGACCGGCGTTCCAGTCTGCTATGCTAGGGAACGCGGAGCTTTAGGAGTCAATCTCCTGGATACCGTAGTAAGACTTGGGAGAACGCACGTCAGACATGTAAACTGCATGGGATGGAAACAGTAGGGTACCTTGACCTTTTCCTCTTAAATCAAGCATACTCACTCAAGACAAAAATCTAAATGTTACCCAGAAATCCCCAGAGACCTCGAAGTTGTTCATGGGAGCTAGGTACCCTTGAGAAACGTTTTCGGGCTGATTGTTCTTGTCCATCAGTTTCATGAGATGGATTGGGAATTCGAGAAGGAATATGAACACGCGAGCCAACCCGGAAGAAACTGGAAATCTCAAACTGGAAATCTCGGTCGATCTCAAACATGGAGGTGAGAGTATCTGTCCTACAATCTTCCTTGTGCGTCCAGACTAGTACTAGCTTTGCCAGATCTATGTAGCGGTTGCGCTGGCCAGGCCCAGCATCGCCAAGTATCGCTGCGTTCTGTCCCACGAGCTGATGTCGGTGCTAGCTTGCCACGTGTCGAGGGATCGGCGTGGATCCAGCATGTAAGAAAAGCAGCAGAGGACTTGGCGCTGTGTGTGAATTACCCAGTGCTCCTTCCCAAGCTACTGCCAAGAGTAGCACATTGAGCAATGTTGATGCGAATGTGCACAGTCATCATGGTAGCGGAGAACCAGGACTTGGACCATCGACACCACTGCCTGGACCCCCTAAGCTGGGAACATCGGTGTGTAAGGCACTGAACTTTCCATACCAACGGCACTGGTAATACCTGCATTATCGGAGAACGCCGACAAATATATGTTCTCCAGCAGATCGTTGCCTACTATCACTTGTTTTACCCCGGTATCGACGAGGAAGGCCAATTCAAATGGCACATCGAGTCCGTGCACCAGGGCTATGCAGCATTGGGTCAGCTGCTTTCTGCTTTCGAATCAGTGGAGAAGAGTTAGAATTGTTAGACGACCTTCACCTCAGCTTCGCACAAGCAAAGCTACTTTGCGTCAGTTCATGGCTCGCTTGCTTGAAGACCCCCTTTTGCTGCCTCTACTCGATAGCCAGTCAGAATGTCGAGGCTACGTCCCAGTCGGCTTGTATCTCCATTGCGTTGCACGTTTATAGGATGGTAGTAGGCCCCAGTACCACCAAGCAAACTGATCAGCATGTGAAATGTCACACGGCTAAAATTACCCTCCGAGAGGATTGTGGACCATTGCCCTCATTAGCTATGAGACAGAGACTTCCGAGTTATACCCGCGCAAAAGCTCCCATAAGAGACTTTGCAGAGAAGATATGGAGCGAACAGGCCGGGGAACTTCTACTATGCTCGAAACAGGGAGACCGACATAAAGACTGCCCAAGCTAGAATACAGGCAGTGCATGCTTGGTGTGCCCAAATCCCGATTCACAGATGCATTTCGATATACGCGCCTAATGGACCTCTATTGCGCCGCTTATCTGGAACTCTTCTGAAACTCAACTTTGTCTAAGGGATTTTACATATACGACATGTTTTCCTCCCTCTAGGCCACTGGTGGCTTGCAACCTGGTCCCGAATAACCCTGAATGTCTTTTATTATTCACCGCCACAGCGGATCTGCGTCCTTCTGGCAGAGCTCGATAGAGCCAAGCCTCTGGCTCTTTATTGAGCAACATGCAAAGATGGACCCAGGCCAGACTTGTCGCCGAAGCTGACGGTCGCCCAAGCCAATTCTTTGCGCTCTCGACGTCGCGGCGGCGATCCGTTGTCAATAGTTTCACGCTCCCCTCACTCTCTTCACTCAGAAACTGACCAGCGGTCCCCTTGCCTATACCAAGCTCTTTATTATCGAGCTTACATTTTTCGTCCAGCGTATCAAGTCCCTTATTAATATTGTTGACAAGCACCCTGATGACTCTGATCCTGTATTGGAAAACGGCCAACATGCGTCCACCGTGGCCGTATCCTCTAAACAATGCCCGCGGAGCCGTCCACCGTGCGGCAAGTTGAAGCTGTAAAGGCCCCCATCCTGCAAACCATGCAGGATAATAGGTTTCCCATTATCTACCATTACTTTTCTTTTTAGTAGAGGACGTACCTGAGCACAATTACCCCCTTGGGAGCCGTGCTACCACAGTCCTCCGTTTGAAGAACCTCTGGATCCGCGATATGGGCATTGCTTCTGGCGACGCGAACCTAATTTACTCACAACCCAGGGTGTCTAATGCACGTGGGATATGGTGTTGGGTGTTGGTACCATACTTTAATAATGCTGGGAAGAGGATCATGGGAGCTATATTGCGGTCACTTTCATGGAAGACATTTTATGCCTGGGTGTCGTCCTGACGGTAGTGAGGATAGCGGCGACGTCGCGAAAAGAACAGAGCTAGCCTACCTAGCTCGCTGTAAACCTGGGCTCATGGTAAAAGCCGGAAGATCCATGCTTATTTCTAGTTCCTTGCTTACTGAATGTTTGGCTATATTCCTCTAATAATAGGGTAACTTGCACGATCTCAGATATGCAAGTTCCTGAAGACCGAGAGAGGGTCAAAAAACTGGATCATTCGCAGCCTAGGGTTGTGTTGAATAGCACGTTTTAAGCAGGCAATCTTGACAGACTTCGCGATCTACTAACACAATCCGGTCATGCCAGGCGCTGCAACCTGAATAACCAACATGCGATTATCCGTGAGCTACTGAAGCCCATGGGTAGATCATACTTAGCCAGTGCCGCTTCTGCTCAGTTTCATTAATGCATTGATTATGGAGCCACATGTCAAGATCTCCCGAGTCCCGGCTCTCAGGGCTACGATCAATATCTACCGGCACTGTGAGCGTCCCCGAATAAAAGTGGACGCGGGTAGTCATAAGCGATGGTTGGGAGAACCGCCTCCCGAAACAAAAATATATATCTTGGGACCGCTTGTATTTTTAATGCTTCCCTGTTAGAGCGTGGTGGCAGCATTTTAGCTAGGACCCAGAGCCGACCATACTTACCTAAACCTATGGTCTTTATTGAGACAATAATACATACATAATATTCCCCATATACAGCCGCACGAAATTGACTACTGGATACCGCGGTGGTTGGCGGAAAGCTTGAAACAAGCCTTGTTAAAACAGGGGTATATTGCAGAATAAATTTGGCCTTTACATCAGCAGCTCGCATAGCTCAGTTGGTAGAGCGCGTGACTAGTAATCGCCTTCAATGGGCTTGAAATCACGAGGTCAGCGGTTCAAGTCCGCTTGTGAGCATTACTTTTTGTTTTTTTTTTTTGCTGGTCTAATTTTGATATTTGAGTGGTGGGGTGGGGTGGAAGTCTAAAATTGAGATATCGGATGTGGGTAACATTCCGGCCAATGGGATGGCTGTCATTTAGGGTTACCTGCGGGGTCGTATATAATACAGCACCAACTCAAAAGGAAACAACACTTCATCCGATGATGCCACCATGGGGTGAGCGTCGGCGAATCTCCTATGCTTTTCACTATCGACTTTGGAACTTGCAGACGCACGGCGCCGGCCAGATCCAGGACAACCTCTGACGCCTTGAGTCGAGCATGCAAAGACATTCTACAGTCTATCTAGGCCGACCCTGTCACGCCATACCAGTCCGATATAGGGGCACCACGCACCCTGTGCTCTGGGGTGATATCTGTCTGGCAAGCCAGTGTCTTCAGGTGCGTTTGTATCAGCCATGGGCCAGGACTCATAAGGGTTAGAAAGTCTCTAACTTGAGCAAAATCTGCTTTTCATATCAAGTAGCAGTTCGAATGCAGCCGCTGGAACGTATCTAACCCACTCTATAGGAGGAAGACCTTAGTGACTACCCATGTAGCAAAAACTGTTAGTTCATTACCCTCCGTATTTATTAACTTAATATTAATCACAACATAAGGAACAGTTGCCAAATATTTAACCCCTGCCTTAACTTTATGGATTTTATTGCTACGTATGCATATATTACGAAGTTAAAAGTGCTTTCCTCAAACCCATGTCTAGGGCTGGAGCCTGGGAATCTAGTTATGTATCCCAGTCCCATCATACCCTGCCTTCAAGAACAACAGCACAAAGCACTGTGGCGAGGTCACGAGGAATCAAGTCCACAGCTCGCTCGAAGATATCCCTAAAGGGAGTATGGTCTTGATCTCATCTTCGGGTTACACCCACCTACCTTTCTAGTACTTTCCCCGCGCGCGGGATCAATGGCCGGACTCGGGCTTGGGTCGCGACTCGCTGTCTCGAATGCGAGAAACCCGCGGGTGGAAGGTGTCAAACCTGTGTCAAAAGCCACA